CCTGCTTGCTGTCTCAAATACTCCCCACCAAGAAAAATGCTTTCCTACTTCAGCTATATCTGTTCCAGTATTGTTCAGGGGCCAATGCCATATGGACCATTGTGACAACACAACTGTTGGGTAACACACGGCAGAAACAGCTTATGCTCGCACCGTGCCTGAAAAAAGGTCCGTATAATCACGTGTCCTGGGAATTCTCAATTGTATCCAAGAACAAAGGGTAGGAGGCAAAAAGCTTCAAGATACAAAACATACAACAAAAATACTAACTTAGGATATCTTTCTAGTTTATTATCCAGCCACATAACATTCTTAAGTTTTCAAAAATGACTGCAGGTTCAATCTGTACAACTGGATCTGAGAACTGATCTAGTTTTTAAGAACCCAAAATCCAACCTCAGCAACAAACTACAGAGCAGGAGCAAAATACTACAAAATCATTGATCATTATAAAATCCTCCCATTCTTACTAAAAACACAGCCTGGACTGTGTATCTGAGCAGCTGAAAGGAACATGAAAAACCACTATCAGCACCTGACATTGAGACATTGTTGAGGAAAAGCCAACTGATAGTTTTTGGAAAGCTCACTGTTGTAGAGGTAAATGTCTCTGTAAATACTGAGGCATCACAGCCAGCAGAACTGGCTGAGCTGATCACTACTGCAAGCAGTGCACTCCTGTAAAGGCAATCCCTGTTGTGATACTGTGCTTTTTTCCTTTGGAAAGATGAGTGGTTTGCTCCCTGTTTATTTTCAAACCTAGGGCTGTAAGTGTATTAATTTTTTACTCTAAATAAACCACTTTTCAGCTCCTTTCACTTATTAAAGTGAATGAAAATAAGTTAGTCAATAATTTAAAAAGTAAATTAATCATACGATTTTTTAGTTCTCTGTTCTCATAATGAAAATAACAGCAGAATAATTATGTCCCAGATTTTCAAGACAGTTGACATTTTTTTCTTAAGTACACTAGAAAAAAGACACTCAGCATCTGGTTTTGTCATATACCTTGTTATTTTATCTGTATGTGAAAAAGTGCATAGTGTAAGGATAGGCAAATTTCTTTCTCCACAAAGTTTAGTTTCTCTAAGCTGCAGATGTCAAAAGCTCATTAAAATTAATTTCTGAATATTTCATGCTGCCTTTTAATTTAGAATGGTCATATTTTACCAAGATATTTTAATTGAGCATAATCCAAAATTCAGTTGTGTGTTAGAGGTAAAATCCATGTCCCAGAGATTCCAGTTCTCTCTGCCTAAAACAATAAAAATCATTAGAACGACTTATCCCTGCCATGTAAGAACAAACTGCATAAGATGCTTAAGAAAAGAAGAAAAAAAATCCCAAAGCCAAGACTCTCTAAACTCTGCTATTTCTCTTTTTACTACCAGTTTCATTATATCCTAATTAGAAACCTACCAGATTTTGAAAAAGCAATTTTTTTATCATACACTGTTAAAACATTCCATGATCAACACTCCCTCTGACATGTACTAACAGTTTATAGTTAACAGAACACCAAATCTTGAAAATACTTCACCTCATCAAAGCCAGCAGCTTGTAAGTCTTGCAGCATTTGTCGATTAACTTCTGATGTTCCTTTGACAGCTGAGGTGGTTTCGTTTGCAAAAGGCAGAAGTGAGTTTCTTATCTCCTGCAAAACTTTATGATATGTTACAAATTTGGGGGGATTTCGGCCTTGTCTAGGATCTTCAGATAACATTTTGCCCATGCTGTGATCAGCTTTAGCAGCATCTGATGGTTTAGGTAAATTCCTGAGGCTCTCTCGTATTTCCTGTAGCATCTGCTGGCTGCTGCCAGTATAGTTACTGGCAGGAAAAGTCTTAGGCCTCATTTGTCTATAACCTTCTGGCTTCTCACTTCTCTTCATGAAAACATGTATATATGCAACCTCCACTAAGGACTCGCACACACCAAAATTCAAGGAAGACCAGCTGGTAGTTTCAGAACTTGTGAAAGCAGTCGTTCCTCACTATGAAACCGTGGTTCCTGTAGTGCTGGAGTTTCTCACAACACAAAATTGCCGTCCTGTTAACAAAATTAAAAAATCCCGTTACATGTGCAGCAGTGAAAAAGTTCACAATGCAGCACTGGTGGCAGTGAAACATTCACATGCAGCACTGCCTTCACAGTTACTAAAAGCATGATAAGCAACTTCTTCAGGCAGTCTTTACTCAACCTAATCTACAAACCGTGTTGGGTTTCTAACAGCCCATTAAAAAAAAATGGTTTAGGTGCCTAAAGTCCAAACTGTCCTGAATTGCAAGGATGTGGAGAGAGTAAATAGGGACTCACTGTGGTGGACAAAGCTTTCAAGAGCAGATAAGAATTGCTGCATGTGCTACCCCATCACAGGTTCTCTGCCTTCACTCTCTGCAGGGTCCTGACTCTGTTAATCACCTATGATCTCTCCATCAACACTTTCAAAGCTGAACGTACCAAGTCTACTATCTAGTTAGCTCAGCTTTGGACCAAATACCCCCACTGTTCAACAATTATGAACAAGCTCCACAAATAGATGGAAGTGAGAAGCAAAAAATACACCAGTGAGAGTAAGTAATTATCATTATTTTATTCATTCTTTAGCACTCATATATGTAAAAAGTTAACACTTGCCTAGCTCATCACACACAACTTTGATTTCTTGTACCATCTGCCATTTAAGCCTATTTAAGGATTCAATTTTCTAAGTTTGTCACAGTCCCATCACTTGAGTCTCCTTGAACAACTCCTTGCCAATAGTTAAGTAATTTTAGAATTTATTTTATGTAAGGGAAGATGAGAGCAGAGGGAAAAAGCAAATAAAGTTTCATCAAGCCTTTTTACTGTAAAATTGTTTGACAACTCAAGCATCAAATTCACTGAGAGCATAACTGTGACATTTGTAAGAGAAACAGAACTTTCTGCCAAAACCAAATAAATAACGCTTGCATTTTGAAGACGCTGACTCATCAGGGAGAGAACCCTGTGTCTGCAAAGAACTCCAATCTCTTCATTCATGCTGTGCACTAGTTAGTACTGTAACTACTGTGGTATGGCAAAGGATGGAGCAACTAAGGTGAAACACTAAGTTGTTACAGAGCATTTACTGCTTTAGAGTATCATGAAATAAAACTTCTACCATCTCTGCTGCTACACAGAGGAAGACAAGTTACTAAGACAGCACAAAATACAAAAATTACATATTTTAGCACTGTCTTCTTCACAGGAAACTTAAGAACAGTAAAGCTCAGTTCACACTGTTCTTTACTATAACGCAGTGTCTAACACTACTAGTACTATAACGTCCTTATTTCCTTGGTTCTGTTTCTTAAAGCACTAAAAATTTGCATTCCAAGTCTTCTGGAGGATTATTCTTGAGAATTCAGATATCTGCAAGCATCTTTTGTCTCTTAAAGGACTAGTGCTGTAGGTATTTCTCAGACATTAATTAAACAGATGTCTAAGTTTTACACAACCCACACAGAAGTCATTCTTTCTTCCTCCAGGTTTCACTTCCACAGTGTTTGCCCCATCATAAACTAATTAGTGATTCATTGATTGACAAAGAATATGACAAGAAGGTAATAGGAAAAAGAACCCTCTAATACACATGGAAATTATATTAATTAAACACACATGATACCTATATAGGAATAAAACCTGAAAGCTTTAAGTAATACATAAATAAGGACTGTGAAAAGAAGCACAAGGGACACCCACTTAATACCATTCTCCTCAGACAACCACTTAAATAAAATTATTTCTCTAATGGAACTGTCTAAATCATAGGTGCTATAACTGCACCCACAAGTTTTCTTTGCCTTGTGATAGGCTTGAAACCCTAAACAAATGTATGCAGTCTGGTAGCATACAATTCTTCAGTGCTTACTGAATAAGATCAGACATGTAAGCAAATTTTAGTAATAAACAGTGAAGTTTTGCTCAAAGTATTAAGAAATCTAGATTCAGCACAAAGTACATCATGAGTACAATTAAAATGTAATTTAATTTTTACCATTTAAAAAATAATTTTCAAAACATGCCGAAGAGCACATTGAAAATACTTTGTAAAAAAAACTTTTTCTAAGGAAAAGGAAATAACTAAATTTAGACCACTTTCCTAGAATTTAGCTTTCCTGTGGATTTTCCTTTTCTTTCCAAGAGACCCGCTTCAAAGAACACATGTTGGATACCCAAGCGTAAGGATATATTCTAAAAACACTTGAGAGAATCACCACCTCCAGAAAAGTGAAGCCCCTAGCATAAACTCATCCCAAACCATAGGGAAAGGCAATTTTGGAGGTTTAGTAATCTAGATTAGTTGCTCAAATTAAAGTCAAAATTAGAAGCAATGACTAGTTCAACATTGGCAGGGTAATCCAGATAAAACAGTTGGTATTGATTTGTGTCACAAAAATAACAATGAGAGAAAAAAAAAAAGTCAGTGCACAAGTTACTCCTTTTCACAAGTCTCAGAAGGCCTGGAATTCAGAATACAGTTGGGTTGCACCTATGCTTTTTGCCATAACTTCATCTGGTATTTCAATATCCACTTTATGGTTACATCACAGGTACCTGAGATACATAAAAGAAAGACCCCTCAGAGAGATCAAGGTTGAACAGGACACTTAAACCATAAATGCTTAGGATAAAAAACTTAGGATCTACTAGCTGGAGAGGGAAATCAGCTTGTGTTCCCATTTCTTCAGATGCAAAACTGAGAATTGTACTTCTTTCTAAAGTACTCTTAAGAACTTTAAGATAACGGATACTTCTAAGTGTTTGACAGCTATTGTTCTGCTGACAACTGCAGCATAACAGAATATGGACTAGCAGTCTTGGAAAATAAAGATCCATTCTCACGTATGTTTTTAGCAGAAGCAGAGTCTTAGCAGTGTAAGCCAGCCAGTCTACTTATCTCACATCACCTAACTAGCACCAGCATAATTGTTTGCAAGGCCACACAGAATGAATCAAGCTGAGGAACCTACCCAGATAAACAGTAACTTTTTTTTTTTTAGTGGGTTGTTTCTTTTGGCAGCAGTGATGTGTAACAGCAGCTTGATGTGTATCTGAAACTACAGTCTTAATTGTTCGGAAACCAACTTAAATTGGTCCTCCAGTTTAATGAAGCACAAGAAAGCAAGTATTACCATTTACCACACTTCACCTTGCTTTATGCAGGAGCCTCAAAATTCACAAGTCACCTTTTACAGACATTTGCACACATTTTAAAGCAATACAGTGTTGACCGCTCAGTAAGAAACCTATCATGATTTTGTACTTCCATCTGGCAAACACTAACTGTATCCAAGGGAACTGATGCCTATTCCTCCTTGCAGTTTTGAGTCATTACATGTAAAATGACAGATGTATGTTAATACAGCTGTTCCCACTGTTGAAGTTCACCCATTTCCCAAAAGAACAAAAAAAATTAGCTTTTAATTTATTTTCAAAATATGGGGATAAAGTATTTCCCTCCAGAGGTCAAACTGTAAGGAAAAAAAACTACTTGCCTTTTTACAGTACAATCATGAAAGACTGAACTTTAAAATAGGTATTTGAATTAAAATACAGAATGTTCCCATAAAACTACCAATGACTTGCAACTTTTTTCTGGTAAAAAATAACACACAGCTTTGTAATATAACTGTCACACTTCTAACCTCCAAAGTTTTGAACATACTTTTAAATATTCGTATTTCCAATTAAGTACTGAATACCATATATTAATCTACTCTGTTTCCCTCTTAATGAACCTATTTAGCAACTCATTCTATACACAATCACAAGATCTTACTGCTAGGGAAAAAAAAAAATAATCAAGAATTTGGGAGACATAAAGTTAAGTTTGTAGGGGCTTGGTTCAAACCAACAAAAGGAAGCTGTTCTTTAGATAAGAGGTCATTGAGCCATAAAGCCGTTTGCCAAAGGATGCATTTCCAATGCTAGAAGTTTCCATAGGATGTGGAGAAAACTGGACCCTGAAAATAGTAAATAGATACGGCAACACAGAGTCAGGGAGGACTGAACTGGACACGACCAGAGGCCAGCTGAACACTGGGGACATTGTGCATTTACTCCGCCTGTTTCCATCCCTAGGCTCTGCTATCTCCTTCAACAGGACACAGCTCTTGTTAAGCACACACGCATTCCCAGTTACCCGCGGCAGAAGCATTAGTTATTCCAAGCGCCCTTCGCAGTGATCCGTGCGGCTACCAGGACAGCCCCTGACGAGCAGTGTGAGCTGCGCTGGCACGTACAGGTAATTCCCACAGCACAGCCGGACCCGGCGTTCCCAGGAACCCTCCGAGCAGGAGGGTTCAGCG